ATTCACTATTAATACACACACACACACACACACACACACACACACACACACACACACACACACAACACACAAACACACACACCAATGGACCAAAGGCTTATCATGGGTTGACTCCCTGAGGTCAGTCATATTATTTGCCAGTCTTGATTTATCTTGGTTGACAAATACATCCCACAACAGTAATTTGACTTGATTTATATTTCATAGCTCTTAATTAAAGAACCTGGAGGCTCAAAAATTACATAAAATTTTGAAGAAATGAAGATAGTAGAGATCTAACAATCTAGTTCCAAATTATGAATCTAGATTAAAATTCATTCAAATTAGAGACGAAGTCTGAAATTAGATTTTGTCTCTCATGTCTTTAATGCTTTACAATGGAACATGTTTCTTATGTTAAAAAGTAAGGTAAATACAGTATCATCTTCTTCAGAAGATTTCTTTCAATAGAAATCAATTTCTTTCAATAGAAATCAATTACTATATTTTGGCAGTACCTATCTGGATTTCTTATGAATTGGTAATTATCTCAGAATATAGCAGGGTTACTTTTTCCAAAATTTAAATGATAATAAAATGCCCTTAAAATAATATAATCATATTTTTACCTCAACTTTCTTTCAACTGTTTTTAGATAATCAACATTTACTAGAAATCAGTTAGAAAACAAATAATGCACAGAGTTTTACTATTAATTTAAATACTTCTTTAAATCAGATTTATTTTCTACTTAAACTTATCTCTTTATATGGCATAAAGATTCCTAGGTTTGCAGTTGAGCCTTGAGATAGTAAGTGGTCAGTCTCTGATGGCAGGTCACAAGGGGCAAACAACCATAAAAGGTGTGATATTTAGAGCAAGAAAGATCTAGTGTACTCACTAGCAGATGATTGTCAGAAAATGGATTTTTTATTTCTTTCTGCCATTAGTAGCAGGAAAACAACCAGATAATAACTTGACTGGCAAACCAGACTTTTTGTTTGTCACCATGAAACAAGCTGTCTACAATGAGATACTAGGAAAGAGAGAGCAAGGCAGGGGTGAAATTCAGCAGATTCTGACAGGTTTTGGAAAACCGGTAGTGGAAATTTTGAGTAGAATCGGCAAATACCACTTCTGGCTGACCCCAGAGTGGGATGAGAATGCAATATCCTTCCCCTGGAGTGATTTTTTTTAAACTACTGGTTCTGTGGGTGTGGTTTGGTGGGCATGGCAGGGAATGAGATTTTGAAGTACCCTTCAAAACCCATAGAACTAGTAGTAAAAAATAATAATTTCACCACTGGAGCAAGGTTTATATACATACTAGATTTTTTTCATCCCACTTTACTGTGTGTAGGAGGGGGAACACAAAGAAATTGTGTGGATTGTGAGAATAACTTCTCCCATAGTTATCCTGGCATGTTCCAAAAGGCCCCCTCTCTCCAGGGTGAAAGAAAATTCACCTGTTAACCATAATTGCTTCCAGCTAAACCTATTTCACCAATAGGCATCCTTCCTTGTCCTTCCCTCATGATCCAGTGCAATTAAGAGATTCCAAATTTAAGCCTTGGTTTCAAACCAGCTGATCTTCACTTATCTGTTGGGCCCTTGTGGTGTAGGGACCAGAAAGAGAGACAGGAAAGAGCTTGGGGAAGGGCCCTCCCATCTTTCCTTGAATCACGCAAACTATGAGTTTCTGAGAAGTGTAGTTGAAAGGCTTGATGATGCTTAAATGGCTACAACTTTCCCAAATGTCATTCCCACATTCTGTAAGTTAGCCCATTTGATTCAACAATTGTTCCTTTATAGCTTCCAATTTTGCCCAATTAAAGGTTACAAAAAGATATGAGAATTTTAGTAGTATGCTGTATATGGTGTGCAAATAAGTGATTTTAGGTGCGCATATACAAGTGCATTTCCAATCTTAAATTAGAAAATTTGTAGCTCTGGAAATTGTAAAGCTCATTCGTACACAACGTATGTTTTCTTACTGCATATATTTTGGATGTAATTGTCTCCAAATTTCCCCTTTTTATACTCAAATTCTGTGCATCTTTTTTTTACCAATTTAGTAAATAAATGAATGTAAGTACATAATTAACATTACTTCGTCACTCGAGCCCTTGTGATCTCTAGGCTGGAATACTGCAATGTGCTCTACATGGGGCTGCCCTTGAAGTGCATCCGGCGACTGCAGTTAGTTCAGAATGCGGCCGCGCGAGTGATAGTGAGCGCACCACGGTTCGCCCACATGACACCCATCCTCTGCGAGCTGCACTGGCTACCTGTCTATCTCCGGGTGTGCTTCAGGGTACTGATGACCACCTTTAAAGCAC